CTCCTGATGACAGTAAACCCCTCCCACACTGCGAGGACTCACCCCCAGGCTCCACTGCTGCGACCCCCCCGAGCCGTGACACTTCATCAGCCTCGGGGGGTCAAAGGTCCTGACCTCTGACACGTCCAGACACAGCAGACCTGCCAGGATCAGCTGACCCTCCTCGTCGTACGCCCAGTCCTGCACACGTAAAGGGTTAAAGGTTAAAGGTCACAGTGAAGACAGACGCTGACTCGTTTATGAAGCCGTGACGTGCAGGTCGGGACAGTCCGCATCTTCAGGGGCGGAGCCCAGCAAAGACTCGAAGCCTGATTGGATAGAGGTGTGTGAGAAACAACCTTCAGCTGACCTCTGAGCCACAGAGGCTTTTCATTGGCTAATGACGTCAATCACAGGTCGTTAGCCAATGACTGCGAGCCTTTGCTGTCACGTCTGCTTTGAAGATGTTACCATGGTTACATCTATACGTTTGTGCAAACGTGTACTTTAGCTCCGCCCGTGCCGCCACCAGGAATCACAAATCTCTGCGGTGATTCGGTAAACTGATGCTGCGTGTGGTCATGTGCTCACCTGCTCGGGGTCTCGGGGGTCACACGGTCGCAGAACGACGGCGCCGCCCTTCTGACTGACCCGGCCCTGGGCTACCAGACAGCGTCCGATGGCGAGGTTCCGTAGCTGGAAGATGGCGGACACAGAGGACGGAAACATGAAGGAAGGTCATGTGACAGGGGGCAGACGCGAACGTGTGGTGAGTTCAGGTACCCGTCCTCGCTGCAGGACTTTGGGCCGCTTCAGGCCCTTGTTGATGAACAGCGGCTGCTGCTTGTTGCCGTTGGCGGCGGTCTGCATCTCAGGGTAGACCGTGTCCAGGTACCAGTTGAACGAGTGGCACTGCAGCCGCTTCCTCAACGCCATGCGCTCGCCGATGTCGCCGTAACTCCGGTTGCGCAGCTCTGGACGCAAAGAGAGATACTGCTCCTGATTGGATGAGAGAGGCACAGGAAATGAGGCCGCCGTGCTGGCATCCAGAGAGTGCGCACGTGTTTGTGTGTTTACCTTGTACCCGTCCATCCACACGTGCGCCAGCCGCAGGGAATTATGGGCCATGGTGTCATGGCCGCCCGGCGAGCCATAGGGCCGCCGTTTCCTGAAGATATGGCCAACCCTGGAGCACGGGATGATGAAGAGCTGACCGCCGCACATCCAGATCTGAGCGAGACAGCGAGAAGGTGTAGCAGCAGCTGCTCTCCCCACCACTTCCTCTCTAAGCGCTAAGCTAACTGCTAACTGAGAGAAATGTGTGACTGCTCCTTTAACGACCCCTTCACTGACCGTCAGTAAAACAGAGTCTCACCCTGAAGGAGATTTCCAGGTTCTCTCCCCCCCAGATGTCCATGCCGGCGTCGTATTGGCCGAGCTCGTTAAAGTACTTCCTGTTCATAGCGAACAGCCCGCCTGCCATGGTGGGGGACCTGAGGGGGAGCAGAGCAAGGGGGAGGAGTTAGAGGTCAGACCAAAACTGCACCTCGAGGCTGTTAAAACATCACCTGATGGGTCCGGAAGCTCCCTCAGGCCCGCTGAGCTCGGAGGGGGGCACGGGGTCCCACTTGAAGTGCAGCCCCCAGTTGAAGCCGCCCCTGACGATGGGGGAGGGCGAGTAGGCGAGCGTGTCGGCGGAGATGATGTCGATGACGGGGCAGACGACGGTGCGGCGGTCCTTCTGGATGGGCGCCAGCAGCGGCTGCAGCCATGCCTGGTTCACCTCGCAGTGGCTGTCCAGGAACACGAGCACCTCACCTGGACGCACACACAGGTGAATCAGACTGATCGGATCAGAAGCCCCGCCCCCTCAGAGGCTCGTGAAGGCTGAACACTGAATTCAAAGCTTAACAGGTGAGACTGAACACTTCTGTCCACATGGTTACAGTGCTGTGCAAAAGTCTTGAGCCGCCTGTCACTTCCTTCCTGTGTTTTTGAAGTGCTCTTGAGCAACAGATCTCTGGCTGCTTTTCCTTGTTCCGGAGCATCCTTCAGGAAGCTCGGCAAACTATTCCTGAGGGTCCAGAGAAGGATGACGCTCCGCCCCCAAACACTCGTTTTACACGTGTATGTGC